CTCTGGGCCTTCTCACCTCAAACAAGGTTGTCAACGTGGCTGACAATCAGACATTTTCTACTTGTCTTCCCTTGTTCTTTATTCTTTATCCTGTAAAAGCTTCTTGCCTTCTGCCCTGTTTTGCAGCTCTCTAAAAGGAGATGGTTTACCTTATGAAGTGTTTTTCTGTATCACCTAAATAGTCTTCTTTAACCGTTTCTCTAACAGTTTAGAGAACATGCTCCAGCCAAACTATGCTCCTTGCTGTCCCTTTAAGAGACCATCAACACTGGCCCTGAACACCAAAGGTACAAACCATTAAAGGAATTAGGAAGGATAAATTGGACTTAACACAGTATTTAAAAGTTCTGTTTTTACAAAGACTCTTAAGAAAATGAAAGCCAGCAGACGGGGACATTTGCAAAACGTGTATCTCAGTAAGAACTTAGATCCAGAATACACAGGACTCTTAAACTCCATGATAAAACTCATTTTAGAAAGAGTGAAGGATGCGACCAGTCACTTCACCAAAGAGGAGATATGAATGGCAAACGGGCACAAGAAAAGATGCTTGACACCGCTAAGTATTAGTCATTCGCGAAATGTAAACTGAAACCACAATGAAGAACTAAGATATACCTACTACAATGGCAAACAGAAAACAAAAATGGGTAACTACCAGATTTTGGTGAGCTGCAGGGCAACTAAAACACCTGTACATTGCTGGTGGGACAGCAAAAAGGTACAGTACTTTGAAAAACTAGTTGGCACCTTCTCCTAAAATCCAACATGCACGTATCCTACAACCCAAGAGAAATAAAAACCCATATCCATACAAAGGTCTGCATGCAAACAGTTTTACTCACAATAGCCAAAAGCTGGAAATAACCCAACTTCCTAGCAATTAATAAATGCATGAACAAATATGGTACATACATAATGGACCATTATCCAGCAATCAACAGGAATGCACTGATACGTGCAGTATGGATGAATCTTAAAAGTAATGAAAGAAACCAGATACAAAACCGCATACAGTAAGTACCATCCCATTTCTGACATTCTGGAAAAGGCAAAAACAGAAGGACAAAGTTAAGTGGTTGCAGAGCATTGGGGAGTGGGGCAAGAGGATCTGCTACAAAGAACAGGGGAAAGGAAGCCCTCTCGGTTGATGAAAATGCTGTGTAGACTGTGGTGATGATCACACAACTGCATAAACTGTTCACACTTAACACTGAAGACCTAAAAAGGGGGGATCATTTGAGTAAACTATGCATCAATTAAAGCGTAACTTTAAAAACGGTCTGAACTATGACTCTTGGCCTGAAATCCTGTTAATCATCTAAGAAATCCTCCGTGCTGATTGAAAGCCTAATATGTGAGGTCCAACTAAAACTCCTCCACAAAATTTCCCGCTTCCTTAACTCAGAAGTTGCAAGTGGCTGCCCAGAATCCAGCTTTAAGTGTTAAGAAAAAAAATTTACAGATTTCTAAAAGGAAGATTTCACCCATCATTTTGTTATTTCCAGTTTTGTTTGAAATACCATCAGGGATTTTGTGAGAACACTTACTTAATTATAACCCATCCTTCCTGATACCTATAGCTCTTTGATCCGTCTTATCACAGTCATTATACCATGCTTTATATTCAGACCTTTGCACATTTTTTAACTAGACCATAATTTGAGATGATCTCTGAATTATGAATCTACTCTTTATAATCCCACACAATGCCTTTAAGAGCTGGTGCTTAATAAAATGAACAACCATCAGTACCACTAAGTAATTTCTAGAGAAATCCTATGAAGGAATACTACTAATGAAATGAAATCGCTGATATCAGGGAGAATGTGAAAGAACAAAAATAACAACAAACAAAAACACCCCAAGTTATTTAAATGTGGCTTTGCCAAGTGTATGACTTGAGTTCTCCATCACGTTCCATTTACTACAACCTACTATAATTACAAATGAAGGCCCTACAAAAAACAGCATCTTTTAAGAGAGAATAAAAATAAGCCCACATATAAATCAAAAAATGTAAGAAAATTGGCCAAACCTCAGAACTCCCAGGTTGGGCTACATTTAGCACGCAACTGGTAAAAGAGGTGGTGACAGAGAACTACTTTTGCTAACTTTGGTTCAAATACTCTAGAAATGAGCAATCGCCAAGTCCAAGCTAGAGAATTCGGTCAAGCAAACCAGTGTCCATAATCTAGCCAGTGTGCTCCAAGAGAAGGAATCAGAAGTCACTGCAGCAGCATGTTCTCAATGCAAGATAAACTACTTGACCACCCGCACAATGGTTCTCTACGGGGCCATCTCACCCATCGGTACAGGGCTGGCGCATCACTATAAATACCTAAGAACACAACTGCCCCCCCCCCCCCCCCGCTTTCTCTAGGATAAAAAGAAGTTTTAAAATTCAAATCATTGCTTAAATAGGTACATACCAAATCTGTCAACTTTATTTCTAAGTTCAATAGATGGTGAGGTCTCTGAAGATTATCAATGCCCACGGTCTGTGAGGGTCTTTTCTTGGCCCTGAGCCACATGCCAAACTATCACATAAAAATTAGAGACCTTAAATTTACGGTAAGATTAATATGAACCAAAAGTATGCTGCGGATGTTTGAACGGTTAATGTGATCCTCAGCTGCATTAACAGAAATGATGTCATGTCTGGTCCCCTGAGAAACACAAGTTCCAGTCGAGACCACAGTACTGGCTACTGCCCAGTTGAGACCACAGTACTGACTACAATCCAAAGAATACCTAGCAGAATCAGGAATATTCAGGATTATCTAGCAACCATACCGAAGAGGGGAAAACAGGCTCTTCAGCCTAAATCGGAGTAAAGAAAGAAGACAAAGTTAAGTATCTAAATAGCATCATGCAGTAAAACAAACATCCTTATTTAACTAACTTTGCTCTAAAAGCAAGAAATAGAAACAATCAGTCACGGAGAAAGAAATTTTAACTCAGCATTTCTAGCAAACTATTAAGATGTCTTCGAAAGTAATGGTTTTCTTTAAAGTATCTGAACACAGGAGATAGCCATCAAAATTATGCACAAGAGAATCTGAAGGTGTTTGTGTTACCTTACAAGCCTCAAATCCTAGGACTAAGTCATATGCTTTCTGTTTTGTGGGGTTCTGGCTAAGTAGTGTGACTGGAGGGGTGTATTTTGTCCTATTCCCCCACGTTGAGTTCATTTCCTCAACTTGTTGCCCAATTTCTACTTGCTGATGGCCTTCCTTTCTTATGCTACATTCACAACAAAAAGCAGCTCCACTATTCTGAGGCAAGATTTCTTCAAGAAAACAAGATCATCAAGAAAGATTTTCGGAGTATTAGGGACAACGTTTTACATTTAATTTTCTTGTTCCACACCACTGAGGGGATTCATTTGATAGTTGTAACCACCTAGGTAAACAAGGGAAATCGTAACCATGTTTGTATCCAATTGGCAAGCCTATAATAAATGGGTTAAAGGACACCAATTTTAAGAGCCACACCTTTGTGAATAACATCAGTGCTTAAGACTCACAGCTTTGGTCAGATGTGGCCGGGCTTGCAAAACTGAACAGCTGGGGTCGGCATGAGGGCAGAATAAAAAAGAGCTCAGCTCGCGCTACCGTTTCCACACAGCCACTCCCAGTGCACACTCATCACTTACCAAGATGTAAAGAGCACGGCTGTTCCTAGAAACTCTGCCAAATGCCAACCTGCATTCTTTACATCAGCATGGCAACTTAAATTTCTCGTTAAGAAAACTTAATGGTCTCATTTAGGATTTTAAAAAGGGCAAGATTAAACAATACATACGCGACACTGACATCTATTTAAAACTAGATAGATGGTCACATTTTAAGAAGATGCAACTGAAAAAAAATGCAACATTAATACTTTGGCAAAAGGTGCCGGTTTAGGGGAAACAAATCTAAGTGCCTAGATTTTCTTAACATAATCTAAAAAAAAAATAAAATAAAAATTAAAAAATTCTAGCAGATAATGTTGCCAATACTTAAAGCAGAATAAATTGTTAAGGGTAACCTAAAATATCATCTCAGCATGTAAATTACTCCATGAAAAGAACATGAGGCATTTCGAGAAGCATCTGAACTCTTCTAAGCCACCAGCATCGTTTAAGAACAGCTACCTATACAGTAAAAAGTATACAGCCTGAAAAATTCTAATCTGCCCAATTAACTCCCTTAAACTGCGTTAAGATGTATGCTTCAAAGTACATTTAAATTCCAACTACACACACCTATAAATTCCCTTTAACATTTAAATATTTGTAAAAGAGAGGGAGGAAGAGAAGACGGGAGTCCAGACATTAATGAGTACAGTATTTAATCTTTAAGTGAAAGGAAGTGATTTATCACAGGCCCTTTGATGGGTCACACCAAACACCTCATTTGCTGTTAAAAAGGTGTTTTTAACTTGTCTACTGCCTGTCACAGGAAATGGAAAGTCAAATTCACATTTTAACACACTAATTACTTTGTAGACTGCATAAACTATCCAACGCCGAGATTCTAGTAAAATGGACTAAGATCTGTAATATAACATCACTCTCTACTATCTACTTAATACAAATACATGTTGCTTTCAGAAGCTAGGGTGTTTCTCTTGTATAGAAAAGCTCTACTAAAAATGTGGTGCAAAATCAGCCTTATGAAATAAACTTTAAGACCAGAGAAAGCTATTCATTACTCTGCCTTGTGAATGAAAACCATATACTTTTATCCCATTAGATCACACCCTGATTAACCTAACAAAGTGCCACACTATGTTCTTGAAAATACTGCTTTAATGACTACTTTATCTACGGAAGTAGGAAAGGTTGTGGAACGATGCTAAGTATGTAATCATGGTATACTTACAATTTAAAAAAACAGCCCCATGCTTAAGAAGCCATAAAGAGACTAGAACAAAGATATCAAAGTGCTTTGGCTGAAATTAGTATAAATAGACTTTATTGAAGTCAGTGCCTCTGTACTGAGACAGAAGATTGTGTCTACATAAGCACAAGTTGTAACATTTCACAACTTCTAAAAGGAATGTCAACAATTACAACGATCATGCATACCATGGTCGATAATCACATTTTAGAAGCATTTTCAACCATTTCTAAAGAAATGCTTATAACATTGTTATATATAGAACTACTTTCAATAAACTGCAAAACATTGATCGACTTTTCCAGTATGAGCTACAGTGTCAACACAAAAGGGAGGCATAAATGTTTAATTTATGAAATCAGAATGGAATATTTACTGTAAAGAAAAATTAAAAAGCTTTCAAATAAAGGCCATTATTGAACCAACGTGAAGAGCACAACTTGAACTTTTGAGTTCATTCATCTTTTAAAGCTGTCCTCTGAATAACTTCAGTTCTAAGCACTGAATTCAGTACTGTGAATATTCCTTGGATTGAAGTTTGGCAATGATGCGGTCCAACTGTCTCTTTGCTTCACACTGTGGGAAATTGCTCATGTCATAATATTGAGGGGCAATTTTCACCAACCTGTCCGGAAGGGGGGGAAAAATTACCAAATTAACATTTAATTAAAGTACTGGAGTTGCTAGTAGGATAGGAATTACTCATTAATATAATGATGAACAAAGGCAAATCTACAAACCCAAATCAACATTAAAATTACAAATGCCTAACACCACTTTTAGAAATGCCTTATTTTAGTTAGCATGTTGGACTTTCCATAGACTTAAAAAAAAAAAAAAAACCTGGAGATAAAATCTTTTAAAAACCTTTCTTTACATTAATACAAACATATGAAAATTAGGCCACTAATCTCTTCACTTTAGAACACCGTTTTGACCAACCTCTCCAAGGTTAGAGTAACACAGGCTCTGTAGGAGAAATATCTTGGTATTCAAATGATTGGATCTTCTCAAAGTTTAATAACTATAAATATAGCTCTATACCCCAAAGAATTCCCTTGACTGAATCTTTTTTAATGTTTGGCCATACAATTTTTTCTCAACAAAGCCTTTAAGATAAAATGGTAATGTCCTACACAAGTGTCAGAAGTCATAATAAATCTGTGTAGGAAAGAAAGCAGGCTCACAGCAAGTGTCATCAACTAAAAGAAGTGTTTTCAGTCCCACCATTCCCAGCTGACGTCTCCTATCTTAAGTTATAGAATGGATTCTGGCAAACCGACCAACCAACTAACCAAAACAAAAAGCCAAACACACAAAAGGGGAAGGGTGGTAATTTTGCTCAAAATGACGACAATCAGGGGCGCCTGGGTGGCTCAGTCGGTTAAGTGTCCAACTTCGGCTCAGGTCATGATTTCGCAGTTTGTGAGTTCGAGCCCCGCATCGGGCTCCGTGCTCACAGCTCAAAGCCTGGAGCCTGCTTTGGATTCTGTCTCCCCCTCTCTCTGCTCCTCCCCTGCTTGCACTCTATCTGTCTCTGTCTCTCAAAAATAAATAAACATTAAAAAAAAAAAAACTTTAAAAAATGATGGCAATCAGTTCCAATAACAAATTGCAAATCAAATATGCTAAGATACAACGAGATGTGTGGTTTTTAGGCTTGCTTAACTCTTTCCAAAGTATCAACATATAAATCATCAATAATTCAGAGCTAATGATAATGGAACAGAGAAAATACAAAGACTGACTGATATCTAGGACAGTACCAGGAGACTTGAGTCGATCACAACAGCAAGAGAAGGACTCCAAAGACGCTTGATGCTAGTCAGCTGTAATTTTGTATTTGGCTGCAAATCCCGCCCACACCCATACCAACAATCCCTCTGTCATCTTAGGAAAGCAAAATCACAAGAGAGAGATCAACCATACCATTCGGTGAAAGCCCCATACCTAAACATGGAGCACACATCCTGAGCTGATGAGACCATCAAGTTCCTCGGAATCAAAGGAAGGACAAGACTGCTGCCAACGAAGTCAGACTGCATTCTGAGCAAAATACTAACAAACTCTGTTAGGACAAAGGGTGTCGCTTACCATTCTGGCTTGATATCCGTACACGTCCGGATGTAATTCTTTGTTGTAAGAACAAACTCATTGTAAAGCACCCATTCAGGCTTGTGGTCAAGAACAGTAGAGGGATGCAACTGAACCACCTGGTTATCCTTCACAGTTAAGTAATGCCCTGTTCGTTCTAAATGTGCCACCTGAAACCAAAACCCAGTAAGTTAATACAATGCTTCTGATGTGCCAGTTACAAAACAAACCTGTGAAAAGCTACCTATAGGATTAGGAACAAGCAGGCCTCATCTTTTGCTTTTAATTCAATGGCTACAGTTATTTTATCACTGCCTGATAAAAGCAGGGAAAAGCAAACTACTGCAGGCCAAATCCAACTCACCGCCTGCATCTGTAAGGCCTATTGGCCAAAAATGGTTCATACATCTTTAAATAATTGGGGGTGGGGTAAGGAGATATGTAAAATTAAAAAGTAAAAATTATGTAATTTGCATTATGTAAGTCATGTACTTGTATTACAAGTAAAAATTATGTAATTTGAATTTCAGGGTCCATAAGTACAGTCTGGTTGGAACCCAAGGACACTCATTTGCCCATGGCTGCTTTTGCACTGCAAGGGCAGACAGAGCTGAGCAGGTGAACAGTGACCTCATGGGCCCACAGAGGCTCATATATATAGTACCTGGTCCTTCCTGCTTTAGAAGGACTAGAAAGGGTTCTTTAGTGCCAGGTAACAACTATGTATTAGATGAACAATTACTAGAAGATTCACAATTAAGAGACAAAGAAAGCAAAAAGGAGTGAAAAGCAAAAGGTAGTCTACAAAGA